CCCCCCGTTTCAGGGACGCAGGAGTGAAACGCGGCTAATGTCGTTTGCTTACGGAAGGTAAACCGAGCGCGACGCTTGAAGAGAGCTTGAGCGGCGTCGTCGAGGGGGTTGCGCCGACGTCGACGCCGACGTAGACGTAGACGGTGGTATCACGGATAATCCAATGGGATGATCCACCAATCCGTGAAAAGCTCGACCGACCAATGGGAGCCTCTAGGGGGTGGTACCGTTCGAAAGCGCTTTCTTACGCGAAACGTAGAATCCGCGTGAAACATCCCTTATATAAAACTGGAAGGAATTTCGGGATTCTAATCGCAAGGCCGTTTTGAAAAAAAAAAAAGATTCAATTTCTTTCGAAATTTCTTCCTAATCAGTGTACCTGAATCAAATCGCATGTGTCCCAATGACGCTGACAAAGTCAACAAGGAAACATTGGCAAGTAAATTTCTGTCGCTTTTACATCAGAATAACGATGCCGACAGGTGGACGACGCCGACGCGGGCGTCGTTTCGCGAAGGCGTCCGCTCGTGCGTATTCGTGGCGGAAATAGAGTTGAACTTAAGAAACGATCTTAAATCTCGACAAGAGTCTCGTCGGGCTCGAGAAACGAGGAGGGAAACTCGTTACAGGGTGACGGTGGGGGAGCGGGGGGCAGGGAGGTTGACACGGGGGACAGGTGGATCTAAATAAAGATTGGACCGACGCCAGGCAAAATGGCTGCGAGCGACGCGGAGCGTCGCCCAGGGCTTACGACACCGCGAATATATACAAGAAGCAGACGCTCGACTCTACCTAGAGACGCGCGCGGCTCTGAAGCATTTACGAGACTCGCTGGTGTTGAATTTCAACCTCGACTGCGATCAGCCGTCCCTTTTCCTATGGTAGGTACGGCGAGAGAGGAACAAGGCGCATTCTCACGAGTGCCAAATAAACCTTGGTTCCGCCGCTGAATTTGACTTTGCAAACGTATTCGGTGGGCCTCGCGGAGAAGCGAACGAGTATCACGGGTGCAGGATGCGTAGGAAGTCCGTCGACGGGAAAGTCCTCTGCCGCCATACTTTATTGGCACGGCCAAATGGCATTTTGTTTTGCCAAAATGACTGCGTCGCGAATTCTCGCGCTTAACGAGTCAACTATTGTCGGGTTCATATGTACGTCACAGTATATATATATATATATCTGGTGCGCCAGTCCCAATAGCGTCCGCGAAGCCACGAGGCCACTTTGCATGGGGTCCTTTGGGAGCCAGTAGGCAGCCATAAGAAAAACTGTCCAGGGGGTAAAAGTGTCGTGGTGGTAAGACGCGTTTTTTCGACCCTCTCGGGCAAAGAGCGTTCAGTTCCACGGGGACTGTTTCTGGGGTCAAGGATCGCAAGTAACTTTTCACTTTCTTCTTTTCTCTTTCATTTTCACACCAATTCTATCCTCGGAAATTCTTGGACGCGTTTCTCTCTAGTCACTCGCGGTCTTCTTTTTTTGGCTTTTGTACTTTTCTTTTTTTTTGTTCCTTTCTCCATCCTCCTCTTCCTCTGTCTGTTTCTTGCTCTTGTCTTTTTTCGGAAAACGGAGTCGAGATGCTACAACCATGTTATTTGAAACCACCATATACAACACCAAAAATACAACACCAATAGCGACACCAAGTGTAGTGTAAGCCTTCACCACACACACAAGGTTATTAATTAAGGTTAAGCGAGCCCCTACGACCTACTGGATACGCGACGACGAACCAACCTTCGTACGGGTTCAAAATTTTCCAAGTGACGTCAGCGACTTGACCGATTCTTTTTTCGTTTCGGGAAATTTTGAGCGATCGATCCAGGTCGACCCTAGGAAGATCCGCGAGTTGCGTGAACAAGAGATCAGAGTCGAGACGAGAGCTACGTCCGAAAAAAGAAAGTATTTTACGGAATTTCGAAAAGAAAAAAAAATAAACAACGATGCTTCGATACGCGAAGATACTTAGAGCAATTTTAACGGCAAAAAATTCGATCGAATTCCGCCACCAAAAAAAAAAAAAAAAATGAAAAAAAAAAGAAAACTGAAAAAAAAGATATCGACGCAAGCAGCTCCCATCTCGCGGACAAGATACTTTGCCGAAGGTAGAGTAAAGTCTCTATGGGAAAGTTACCTTCCCTCTACCGCCAAAAAAAAAAAAAAAAAAAAATGAAAAAAAAACGAAAACTCCAAAATACAAACAGATATATACTACTGTCGTAACACACTCGGCAAATAAACAAAGTACATAGAAACAGAATAAAGTACAAAAAAAAAAATTAAAGAAAATCCAAATTCTCACGATCAATTATGTGACGAATACGCAAAGTGTGATCAGACCGATGGATTAATAATAAAAAAAAAAAATTAAATAAAAGTAACTTTGCCCCTTCATTCCGCGAACGGGACGCGCCACCGGCACTTTATTAATACTGTTGATTAAGAAGAAGAAAAGAAACAAAAAGAGTGAATAATTCAAAGGAAGATGAATGAAAAAAAAAAAAAGAACAGATAAAAAAGACACTAACAAACAATTCCAAATCTCTCAACAACCGCAATCATCATCATCATCATCAATGGTCATCAAGAAAAAAAAAAACACAACCAAATTGATCATCAATATAAGATTCTGTAGGAATAAATAATATTCGTACTCATGTTTTTTTCAATATACGTGTTCCCTCTCCCTCTCTCCCTTTCTCCCTCTCCCTCTCTCTCCCCCACTCCCACTCTCAGTGTGCGCCTCTGTAATTCGCTCCCTTTATCCCCTTCCCTCATTCGCCTGCTTTTTAATGCATCTTTTCACAGAGCCTCTTTTTCGCTCTCTGTCCGTCATTCTCTAATCCTTAATAAGGGCGCCGGTATTTTCGGCCGTGTTAAGGAGGACCCGGTAAGGATAGTGCGCGCAGATGGGCACTGCCTCTCGGGATGCTGAAACGTCATTTTTCGGGGCATTACTTATCGTATCTAAAGAATAGTGGAGATTTTGACTTTTCTTTGTAAATCATTTCTTTTCCAATATTTTCCTTTTTTTTTCATTTTTTCAACAACTTCACTTCCCTCTCCCCGTCAATCCTTCCCTCGGCATTAACTTTTTTCCATTTTTTTACAAAACACAATCACGAAAACCGTAAATTGACGACAACAGGTATATCGCGTCTTCGCCGAGGAAAAGAAAGATTTGGCTCAATGTACTCGACATCAATCAACATCTACTGATAACGGGAACGTTACAATTCCTCATGAGAAATCTCATGATAAGATTTTTCAACAATGATAATTTACATTCTGACGATCAAGGGAGCAAAAAAACCATGTAATCAATACGAAGACGCGAGTACAGCTCGAATTGAAAAAAATTTTCAACTACATGAAATATCGCTCTCTCGATCTCTCTTTCTCTCTCTCTCACTCTCTCTCCAAAAGTCAAAATGGACACTTACCCATACTGGCCAGGTAGAACGGTGGGATATCCGGCGCGAATACCAGCAGCGAAGGGGAAAGCTGAAATAGGGAGAAAAAAAAATATTTTTTATTCATACTCAAAATTTCGTTCGAGCATTTCAAAAATGTCCGAGACCTAAATAGGACATTATTTAAAAAAAAAAAATTAACTCCGACTCTCCTTTGCAGCGACGTGCACGCACGCCTTAAAGATAACAAATTCCGATTAAAACGTATCGACGTACCGAAAACCAGGCTTTCGTATCCATTACGAGGCATCGCATTACGAGCCAGCAATAAAATAAAGCAAGTACCCAGAAGACCCCGGGGCTTTTCCATTCGCACTTATTACCCTCAGCCGTGAACGATACACGAGCAGGACTGCGACAACGAGACAGGTACAGCACGTACGTAAAACAAGGAAGACAAAGCAAGTAAAAAAGTTAGAGGCAAAAGGTGCATCGTCTGTGCATCGCGATGCGATCCGCCATTGGCGCAAAGTGTAATGCGTGTCGTGAGGGCAGTTGGTACCTATAAAATCGCGGCTCCGGACAGCCAGTCACGTTTACATGAACTTTTTGTCGAACGTCGCACGAATCTGGCGAAACGTGACTCACGGAAAAATCCCCTATATGCATCGGGCTTTAGAATGACGGGACAGCCTTGATTTTGAAGATTGCGAATGAAAAAAAGGAAAAGCAATAATTTCCAGGCAAGTACAGGACGCGTGACGTCACGGGACATAAACGGAAAGTGATAAGGGTAGCAGCCCAGCTTCGCAAGCAACTCGATCCCTCCGGACAGCGAGATGAGATCTTCGAGAAGAGCGACAAGCGTCCCAATGCGAGCGACGCAGCTTAGGGCAAATTTAGAAGCCAGCGACGACAACGAGAGCCAAGCTATGTTGGCTGCAAGCCGAGTTAGCGACGAGAATCGCTAAAGCGAGTGAGTCACGCGTACTTCGGCTCTTCGAATCGGCTGCACCGAATCGCCAGCAGTTAATGTGAACGGAGCATAAGGGAGGCTGCGCAGAGAAAAGCAGGGGTTGACGAGTGGCTCTGTGCTGCTTTCATGGGACACGTGTTGGCTAGTGCCAAGCGTACAAACGGCGTTTGGGTGCGTTCACACGCGTCCGTACGACAGGACGCGTATGAAGCAGCGGACGGACGTGAAATCGGCCATTAGGTCCTAAAGCAAGAGAGAAAATGTATCTTTTTGTCGCTCGCGACAAGAAAGGCCGATATTCGACGCACGTTACAATGACGTGCGTCGCGCGTTCCCCTGTGGATAATGCATGCGACTGTACGTCGATCGATCGGCACCGAGGGTGTCATTAGGTACCGAGGGGAGGAAGGGATAAAAACACCGAAAGCGAGTAACTACGTAGTGAGGAGGCAAGTGTGGTATATACATATATAGCAAGTATGAGCACAGAGAGAAACGCATGTGGGTATGAAAGGAGAAGGGAGAGAAATAGCAAGTGTCAAAGGGAACGGGGAACGGGGAACGGGGAACGGGGAACGGGGAACGGGGTGAACGATGCCCAGTGAGTATCGAATTTAGGCAAGGATGAGGTAATATTGAACCCCTGACCACTTGGCTACAATTCTAGGATCGATCGACCGATGTCGTAATGGGCCAACAAGTAAAAAGCTCGAAACGCGAAAAAGTCCATTTTCTTTAGTGCTACCAACTGCAGGATAAATAAATGACGAATAATTTTCATTGTTGCGACCGCGTACGTCAGGAACGACCCCAGCTTTGACATTGCGCGCGACACGTGGTAGAAATCCCTTCGAACAGTCGGTAGAGCAAACAGCTCGGACTGCCTGAGGGTCGGGAAAAAGTTTGAAGCACAGGAGGTAGGCATCTGTTTGCAGCCTTGTATTTCTCTGATATACAACATCGTGGAAATATTGTTTACCCTCCAAGATACGTCTGCTATCGCGCATTTGCACGCGTTCCCGCTGCGTGTCCTTTATACGGATTCTTATGAAGAATTCATAAACGCCGAATAAATCGATTCGGCCCACGCAGCTCCGAGTGAATTTCGTGACTCCCGATAAAGCCCCGGGCACGTCCCGTGGGGCCATTCGAAGGAATCACGCGTGCACGGGAAAACGATGGAAATATGTGAATGACATTTATTCATTGGATTATCGATACCGTCTCGATCGCTCGGAGGAGCTCAGGAAACACGAAAGAATTTAGTGCAAGAGGAGATTCTGGCTCGGCAATGGCAATTATGCTATTTACTCTACGTGTAGTATAGTCTCGTCCGAACAATGATACGGTGGATCTACGTGATATGCAAATATTATATTGTGTACTTGTAAAAGTTTTTATGCAATAATTAATATATCGAATGGATAATTGTTGGTGACTTACTCGCTTGCAGATTGCCCCTGGGTTTTGCGCCAAGAATCGCCAGGTTAACGTTAGCCTTACGGCCGTCGATGATGGGATTCGGGTCTTTGCATGCCCTCTCGGCGGCCGGTCTGTCTCCCATGATCACCTGCGTGCAAAATCGATCTGATTGATTTCTCTATGAATTATTCAAAGGAAGTCGCCCAAGGCGCACTCCTCTCGCTAACTGCATCGACTCGCGATTAGTATTGACTAACCCGACTGGACGCCTCGATAATTCAATCACTTTGTATAATTCGTTGAGAAATTCTTTATGGATACTGGTAATAATACATATTCCGGCTATTCTTTTACATGTTGTCAAACCGGTACCAGTATCAGGCATGTGTGTGATCCAGAGTCACACGGAAAGGCAAGGATTGCCTATCGCGAACGGAAGGCCGAAACGTGCCTTCCGGATATGAAATCGTGTTTAAGCACCGATTACTGTTATCAGGATAAACGATGCTTTTATCAGGAGAACAGGTTATCCACGTTGTTGATAGTTACACTAGAGTTACGAAGTATAAGAAGCAAACGGGATAACGTTTTAATGGAAAAAAAACAGAATTTCCAAAAACATTTTCGTAATGTTTTGGAAATGAAAAAATTATTTAAAAAATTATTAATTTTTGAAAATTGTATAAAAATAATTTTTACTCACGAATCCATAACCCCTGCTCTTTCCGGTCTGTCTGTCGGTGATGACAACCGCCTCCTCGATGTCCCCGTAGACATTGAAGTGTTCCCTGAGACTCTTATCAGTCGTGTGATAAGGCAGTCCACCGACGAACAGTTTTGTCCAGGTGGTGTCCTTCTGCTGCGGAGTGGCACCCGCCAAGGCGCCCAGACCCGAGACCAGCTCGTCCGGTCCTGGCGCCCCGACGGTCCCCACCGTACCGACAGCGCCCAAACCTGCCGCTCCTGGCATCAGCATATTCCAAATTTTGGATGATTTGAGTGACACGACGTAATAAAAAAATTGCCGCTACGCGTCTGTCGCTTCCGCCTTTTTTTTTTCGTTACGCTTAAGTGTTACTTTATATATCACAGACTCTGGAGCATTTAGAAGTGGAATGCTTTCTGTAACAGGAAAACAGGATCGATGCCAATTTTTAATAAATTGATTATTCAATTTTGATAAAACATTTCAACAGCTGCCGGTTCTTTACTAAAACATTACTTCGTGTGATAAGCACCGGGCGAATTGACCGGACCCCTTAATGATACGAACGCTATCAATTATGCCGCACGACCTTTTCGAGAACGCCACCCAGGGCTCGAGAACGTTATCGTACGTACAATATTTTTTTTCTCAAGGTAATAGAAACTAAAGCCAAACAAACTTGGCTGCTCGAAAAAATAACTGACCAACCAGCTGCTGGAAAAAGAGTAACGAGCTTCTCATCATCGGGAGGGGGCATATACACCTAATGGAATGCGTTAAGAGCCAACGTTGCTCGAAATTGATGATCTAACATGGAGGAAGCAGAATAAATATAAATAAGTTAATTACCATCGATTTAATGATCATACAACTAGTCATCAACTAGATAACCATGGCAGATCAAACATTGCCCTGCATCGCAGCGTAAAAGAACTTCTTCTCAAATCTCTTTAATAATTAAAATTATCAGCCACGTTCTATGTTACCCACCAGTCCTAAACTTTGTTTCCGTTTCCCCAACCATAGATCAAGTATCTTAACGATCAAAGTCTCTCGGATCCACCGAGCAGCTGCCATTCCACACACGTCACGAGTCAGAAGGAACAAAAGTACAGGGGCCAGAAAAAAGAACTAGATAATAAATCTAGCGAAGCTCAATACTATCCAGAGAAGAAGAAAAAAAAAACCGTAAAGGCTGTGGCAGCCTATGATCTCTATTCAGGTTCTCGTAGTAAGCTCGTACGGGGCCTTGGGGCCCAAAAACTTGCTGCAGCTCCTCCTGCGTGGCCAGGTACAGGGGTGACGTTTTTAGCGAGACACAAATGTATTCGGCCGAGTGAAAGAAAGGTACCGTTGCTCCATACCTAGGCAAAGGGCCCGGTCATTGTGCGCTAGTGGCGATGGATATATAGAGGGGACCGTAAGGCCCAATGGGTCCCCCCCCCTCTCTCTCTCTCTCTCTCTCATTCCCTCCACCCTCCGGCATAAACCCTCTAGAGCTTCGTTCCAGCTCAATCCCCAAACGGCAGCTGCAGAACCGGTGCACACTGTATAATCATATTGTATGCGCGCTGCTGTACTCTCACTAGTTGGCAGTATGTACTGTGCTTTGCAGAATAAAGAGTCCGGCTGAATTTCCAGTCTGAATGCAACGTACCGACGCCATGACGGCACGACGCGACAACGACGGCTTCTGGAAACTTAGAATAGGGCCGTACGGATGGCACTGGTGATAAAAAGGTGGTCGGACTGCGGGAGGGTGCTTGCGCAAGGGAAGTACAGGGGACCAGCGTTATTCAGAAAGAAAAAAAATTGCTCACCCACAACACCCCACTGTTTTCTCTTTCTCTTTGAGGGTCGTCCCGTTCGAGGGGTGGAAACGCAACCGGAAACTTGAGCACGTGTACATTTTTTTTCGTTAGCGAAGGGGACGACTAACCCTTTTAGGTTTATTCAAATTTTTATTAGATTTGGAGAAACACGCATGATAGAGAATTCACAATTGGCAATTCTGGTACAGGATGTAATAGATTCCGACGAATCGCACTAGCAAAATTGGATAAAGTTGCTGGTCTATTAATTTTTTGCAAATTTAATAAAATTTAGAAGGCTCGTTTAAGAAACTAAGCAAGAAGAGGTAATTGGTCGATGATCACAATTGTGAAGTGTTGATGGAGCGAATCACATGAGCATCTCCACGAGGCAGTTCTTGTTTATTTTGGCCCGAGAATTCTCTCGCTAGAGAAGACAGAAGATCTGGGCAAAGAGAAAGGAAGAGAAGAGTCGAAAAACGAGAGAGGATAGAGAGGAAAAGAAGGGTGGAGACCCAGGAGGTGAGGAGACGGAGAGAAGAGGACCACTTTCCTGAAAATTAGGATCGGCTGCTTCTTGTTGCTTGGCTTTCGCTCGTTGCTGCTGCTGCTGTTGCTGGTAGTCCGTTGCTATTCCAGAGAAGCTCCTGTTTCCGTGATGGCGCATTGCCATCACCAACCAACCGCCAATCAGAGAACGAGAAAGATAGTCAACGCTAACGCAGAGGGCATGGACCACTGGATCTTGTAAACTTTGCGGGTCAAGGCGCCTTCTTCGCTCGACGCTCTAAATAATTTCTCTATTATTCCATGGATTTCTGTGAGATTGCATTTCTAGAGGGTTTAGTCGTGCCCGAAGAAACTCGCTGCTTAAACTGCAGAGTTATTAATAAACACCGGCCACAGGGAACACGTGCCCGTCGTCGTAGCGCCGGCTTCTCTTTGTTGCGGGATTTCCACTGATTCTTCATTGAATCCCACAAGGGAAATATTTTTATTCGTGTCAATTTTCGTTATTCTTCAGATTCCCATGTAACGGATCTTCTACAGAACCTTGTCGTTTCTCTCGTGGTTAAATATATAGCGAACTTGAATCGTACTTCTTCACTCTACTGGCTTGTAGACGATTGCTGAGTGATTGATCGATTAGCAAGTTTCAACTAGACGAAGGATGCTTCTGCGAAAGCATCAGTTTTCAATTTACAGATAAATTCTTCGGATTCCTATCGTATTAGTAGTCTAACGTAGCGAACCAACAAAATGGTAAGTTTGTGCAATCAAGCTTCGAAAAATTTGTTACCTATCAACTGCCTGCTGTGGATTGCCGTATAAAATATTACGAATATTAAAAGTTTCTTAAATATTGAGTGTTGAAAGTTCTTGAGAGGTAAAAAAATCTTTTCATAGTATAAATGGCAAACAATTCCGAATGAATATCTAGGAGAAATATGGTGCGTATACGAGTCTCACGTCAGCCAAACCAAAAAAAGACCAATCCAAATATAAAACCAATCCAAAACATAATTCACATAAATAATCCATACACGAAAATCCCACTGATTACCGAATAAAGCAACACTCACCTGTTTCGTAGGAACGTCGCTAAAAGCTATATTCCCGAAGATGCAAATAATCCAAGACACAAGAAACGTATTTGGCGTGTAGAAATATATACGATCTTATAAAACAACACCGTTATAAATTTACCAATAAGATTGTCCTTCCAGAGCACAAAAACAATTGTCACGATAAATTCTCAATAATATTACGTAATCGTAGGAACAATCTAGAATCTCTGGCGGGACAAAAATCGAAACTGACTGCTCGTTGAGAAAATTTTAAAAAAGATATCTCAACACTCGCGTCACAAAACGAAACGGGACGTGCGACGTAAATTGCGAAGAAAATACAGGAACGTGTTTCTACGCGCAGATCCGGCACAGACGGAGATCCACGTGCGAGTGTCGTTCCAGTTTTGAGACAACCGCTCTGGGCTCTGGTTCGTTGCTTGCTGCGCATGCGCCGTTGCCTTGCCGCTTCCCCTTGATTCTCTAGCGTCTTCTACCCCGTCATTCTACGTAGTGCCATGTTTGCCCTCTCTCTTCCGCTCTCTGCCAATCGCAATATCTCTCTGTCTATCTACCGTGCTCAAAGCTTCTCGCGCTATAGGCTGCCTTGCACTACCCACGAGATCTGTTAGAAGGGGACTGCAGAAAACTGCATTGAAAAGGGAACTTTGGCATGAATGTTGCCAGCGGGATTGGAACAGGAACTTCCCTGCTGTTGATTCTTTTCCTTCAACGTTACCCGAATTAGTTTTGTGCTTTGGATATTCAAGAGTAGAACGCGGTAAGTTGGATGAATCCACGAATAAACAGCAGTCGTCTGATTAATACGGTTATGAATACAGTGTATCTATGAGTATATTTCACGCGTATGGACTATATACATATGTTCTTTACCGAAAGTAAACGTTTACAGGCAATACTCTTTCCTAAATACTTGGGACACTTGCAACAATTACATTAAGGTCGTATTTTTATACATTTTGATAAAATATTTTATCGCCAAGATACTTTTGTGCGATAGGTAATTTAGTTTTGAAAATTGACGCCTGGACGTCGCGGTAACAAGTTCGTTCACGTTCTATGGAAACAACCTAATAAATCGTATGAAATGCTTAAAAAGATACTCGACCTTGCGTAAAAGCAAGACCGTCGAAAATATCTATGGATCCTCCTAAGGTCAAGTACCACTTGAGAAGAGATTGCATAATTTCGATTAATCGGAACATTATTAAATCCCACGTATTGTACGTCGCACCTTGAATCTTCGGGTGTAAAGAGTCGAGGAGTATAAGAAAAAAAGATACCGCGAGGTCTTTAGGGTCCTCTCGAAATAATGCCTAATTATAACTTAATGATTTCACGAGTTACGAGCCGACGGGAACTTAAAAGTGGATCGTCACCCACTTTATTTGAGGCTTCGTGCCATTTCTTGTCAGCTCGTTAGGGCGAATCGTCACATTGCGATTTCCAATTCTCTCCAGCCTATATTTCGACCGTCTCGTGACTACACGGAGAGTCATTCGAATGATTTGGACGTTTATAAAGAACCAATAGAGAGCCCAGTAGATGCCGAGGTGGTCGCACGAGGTATCAGCTGTTCGAATTATTGTTCAACTCGACGACAGATGTTCTCCTTCCTCGGGCACACCCCAAAATCATACCAGAACGAGTGGGGCTTTTGTTATCTTCCTTTTTTTTCAAAAGGGATAACAGAAACGCTCCCTATACGTCAGACTGAAAAGGGCGAAAAATAGAAAGAAAAAAAATAAAGGCATCTACGTACTTTTCCATAAATCAAAGAAATATCGGTCACATCGAATCAAGCATAGAACCGATAATTATATATTTAAAAAATTCCCCATGAAAATATTAAAAACTATATCTTATAGAATGAGATTCTTTTAATTGGATTCATAATTTTCTCTTCTAGAATTTTCATACAAATTCGTAGACTTTCCTCAGAACTTCGAATTGCAAGTAAACCGGAGGATCGAAAGTTACAGGCCACAGGGTATAGGATATCATCGACGCTCGAAGGAGACCCCATAGGTTCGTGGCACGCGCTGCCAGCTGCCCCACAGCTGTCTCTCTGTCCCCCATACGAGAACGGTCCTTACCAGGCCGTCGTGTATTTACCCCGTGGTACACGTGCACGTGCACCCGCCAGTGCAACTCTACGTTTTCGAACGTTGCGACGTCGTTGCATAGGTAATGAGCTGCTGGCCCAGGGTGTCCTACGAGTCCCCTTGGGTCCCCCTCCAAATATTAACCGGCTGTTGCTGAAAGAAAGAAGCCTATAGGAAACGTAGCCAGTACCTGTTGGTTAAATATCCACCGTTTAGATTCGAGACTTGTTTCCTGCATTTCGATTCCAAGCAATTTCAATTCGTATCACCAATGTTTTTCCCACACGTCATACAGAAAGACACACGATGCTCACCAGCCCTGCTCGATCGCGCCACTGACCCCCACTAGTCTTTCCCACCGCATTCGGGTTTTGCATTTGCGGTTTCTCATCCGGCTTGAACGGCGTGAACTCACAGGAAATAGTCCTGCGCTCGAGAGTCCTAGAGGCTATAGGGCTATTAGATTTCGGGTGAGCCAGGGATGAAAGGGAAAGAGAGAGAGAGAGAGACGCGAAGAGAACGAAAAAAAAAAAGAAAAGAAAACAAGAGAGAAGACAGGAACGGTAAGTACTCGCACGAAAATAAAAAGAGCGAAGTGCATGCTGAGGACCGGAAATCCTAGGGCGTTCAACCTCGACATCTCAGTATATTTAGATTTAAAGGGACACGTCCTAATCAGACTGTCGGATCTGGAACTTCATGGGTAGTCCGAACTTCGTGTTCGATCCAACCGATAAATTCGCGTATTTTGACGCGTCTCCTTGAACAGCTACTCTGTCAATGTTTTCTTGAAAATTACGCAAAACGTGTCTTCCAAGTGTAAAACGGGATGGTCGTTACGGTATGGCACCTCGATATTATCATCTCGGAAAAAAAAAAACCAACAACTTCCGTATAGGAAGTCGATCGTTTCCTCTTGTGCTACAGCACGTATAATCCTGCACGCTACCCGCAGTCTGTCCCTGGCTAGTGGTGTGTATATATATATATATATATACTGCGTGTGCTACTACGTCTACTAGGTATACATCACAAGGGTTCCATCCACAGGTGAGACGAAGGCGATCGGAAGCAGGAGAGAAGATTCGCAGGAAACCAGTTGGACCAGCTGTAGTGTCCGCGGAGGGAAAGGATCTCGTAATAGTCCTTGAGGAAAAAAGTGGTACGGTCCAGAAGAAGCAAACCGAGCAGTAGGGAGGAACAGGACCTTCTTCCTGGATGAGTAGATCAGCTCTGGGATCCTTGAAAATGTATTTGGTGCCTAGAGACACAATACCAGCAGCACGGCCTTCTCGAAATAGCCGAGCTGCGCCCGGATGAACTATGCGAAAATACTGTCATCCCAATTCTCTTGGAACCGGCTCGCCGTTCGATTGGCTCGGAGGATCGAACGGAAAGTCAACGGGAGGTGGATCATTAGAAAGGGAGCGTGTGGTTTATTTCTGATATTGCGCGATCACGTTGACAAATTTATCGGGCTATCTTAAAGATTCATAAAAAAGAAAACACGAGGCTCAACGACTGTACCGAGGGTTAATTAAAAGTACGAGGAAAAATATTATAGACGGAATCTCACGAAATTAATGTTATCGTGCGTTCAAGAATTTCGCGTTTCGACTACGTGTATTCGAGTGATATCAGGAATTGCGTAAGGTTGGTAATAGCATCTGTGCAATCTTAAGACATTTGTACAAATATACCTGGTGACATACGTTGTAACATGAGGATCTTCCACTTGGGAGGTTCGTGCGTGGTTCAGTAGTTTGATTAGACGGGACATATCCTGTCTGAAATAATTATTCGATCGTCATCATCAAATGCGTCAGCTGTGTAATATATTTATTAGCCAGTTTATGTTTTTGTCTACACAATTGCGGAGGAATTGCGGAACGATTGAAAGTGGGATTATAATTAAGGTAGATTCGGTATAAATGGATGATTTTAAAAATTTATCATTTATTTATGTACTGTATATAAGCGGAATATTTTCGTACGATAACGGATGTGATTAATTCTTTTTTTTTCTATTAATATACAATTTTTAAATGAACAGTGAGAAAATCGTTTTCTTATTCTAGTCAATGACTGTGTCTAATATATGGGTACAATGAGGTCGTTTCTATGTAACGTTAAGATCCAATAAAAGTTTCGTACGAATAACAATATTTACAGTAGGTATGGGCGTTTGGTGAGACTGAATAAAAAAGTAATGAGGAATACCGAGCGCGATGTGGCGAATAAAAAAAAAGAGCAAGAGGAACCGTCTATTTCGAGATGAGCATTAAAGAACATCGGGCCACGCGTCACTGTACGCGAATTCAAGTTTTCTCTCACGGTCTGACGGTGACATTTTAGGAAAATTTTTATTTTCAGATTTTTGTTTTTCTCTTGGCTAATATTTTTTCTTATTTATAGCGATGGCTAAACTTATTATTCGTGGGCGGAGTGAATATCGGAGAGCAAATTTTGAAACTCCGACTCTGACCTCGTTTGCGCTTCGTCGAGTTTCCGCACCATTTTCTATTTTCAATAATTTCTTATTTCATTAAAATTCTAACATTAGTCATTTTCATTTTACTTGACTATTCAATATTTTAAAACTAAATGTAATCCTAGTAGTCATTCGAAATCAGATGTTATTTATAGCGATTCCAATAAATCGATTCCATCGTCGTCTTTGAAAATCGATAGATATGGCTTTTCAATAAATACATCATGGTCATTGAAAAGGTCATAGTATCGATGGTCATTGTCTTTATCATCTTTCTGGATATCCTCGTCCTCGTGGTCATCATCAAATTGGAAATAATGACTGTTATCATCGAAGAAATCTTCGACATTAGGTAATTCTATTGATCCATAATTTTCTATTGATTTCGATACATCCTCCAGGACAATCGGATTGTTGGCAATCTTTGTATGATCAGAACTTTTAGTATCTTGAAAAAAATTCAAACTATTTTCTCTCTTGACTCTCCAATTTTTGTTTTCCTCCTGTCCCACTAAGCCAGCACTTTGAAGAAAGCTAGCCAACAGTTCGTTCATAGGCTCGTCGTCCTTCCTCTTGGATTCCTCAATAAGATAAGGCCACAACTTTCTATAAAGTTTACTTAAAGTCTTTTTGTCATTGGCAGAAATAAAATCATTTTTAAGTCCCTTAATCACCTGAGGAATTAGCTGAATGAGATAATTCTCATCGGCATATGGTTCTGTTGGACCGTTTGCTGTAGTCAGTTCATAGTTGTCGTCAAGCAATACAGTGCTACTTACGTCTGATATCAAATCCGTCGCTATTAATATTCCCATTGTTGTTTCTGTGTTTGAGACTTCAGTAGCGATATTTAAATCAATAATAGATGACATTTCAGTGGCTACTTCTTCTATGTTAATTGTACTGACGTGTGGCGTTGATTCCGAATGTGTATCAACGACAGATAAAGTCCCTGACAGAGTGGACAGACTGTCAATAACTTCGGCGACGTGAACAGCAGTTGGCGCTGTCGTCGTTGTTGCCTCGGGAATATATTGGGCCGTTGTAAGCAGCATAACTAACCCAGACGATTCATCAGCGACAAAATCATCAGGTGCAAAGTGTGTTGTTTCGCTTTTCTCAAATTCCCCTTGAATAGAAATATTATCTGAGCTGTCTATCATTGATGTTGCCGTTGTGCAATCGGTTGTGATACGTTGCGTGCTTATTTCCGGATGACTGTCCATAATGACAGTCGGTTTTGTCGCTTCGAAATTCTCATCGAAAAGAGTCCTCAATGTGCAAATTATTTTTGACAAACACGAGTTCACGTTCTCTGTAACGAGGTCCTCAGTCGTTGTTATCATTTCTGTCGATAATATATTAAAAGTTGTATCCGAAAATTCCGATACGTCAGTGTCGGGCAAATTCGTAACGGCTGGATTCAGTGACGTCATCGTATCGTTCGTTGAATACGTTTGCGGCTCTTCGGTAATTGACTCGTTAGCATTTGAAGTTTCTGGAATATCTTCTGTAATTGGAATATTTGTGGCGGGCTCGAGTGACATATTTAAAAGTTGAAATTTTGCGTCCGTAGTAGTTTTGTCAATTTTCTCTGTTACACCGTCGTACTTAGATCCTACTTCCACCACGTCACTCACTTTGCTATCTTCCTTTTTCAGCACTGTCGGAATCACCTGAGAAAACACTGCTGGCTTCTTCACAACGATGTGATCTTCGTTACGAGTATCGTAAGGGATACCGTGATACCTGCTGTGCCAACCGAACGGATGATAATGATCGACAGGAAAAGTACTTTTATGTAGTAAATTATGAAATCTGTCATTCATGCCTAAAAGAAATGTTTTTTTATTTAGCAAATTCCACGAATCGCCGTTTCCTATTCCACTGGCGGTTGCTATGATTGTGCGATCAAAATCGTTGATTCTGTTAACTGAATTTTGATAAATTTGATTCGAGCCGTCATACGAATTCAGTATGTGATTAGTTCGATAAAATCCTGGTTGATGTAGCAATCGAGATAACAGCTGACCAGGTTGCTGCATCGATAGATCTGGCCTGTGCAGAAGATCGTTTGTATGATAAATATTGTAGTTTTTAAAAATATTTTCTGAAACAGTAAAATTATCGTTATTGTAATATTTTCATTGCAGGTATACACGCCCACTGTGGATCCTGATACAAAGTAATATGTTCGAGCATTACCTTTCCTTTTACACGGAAAGCCAGAAACTTGGAAGAAAACAATGGAGAGGAAATATAATATTCTTGTCGATCCCATTTTAGTCCGACAAATTATTCACAAATCACCGATACTGTTTCCACCGCTACTTATACGAGACTAATGGACAGTAATTGCTCACGGTTTATAAATTAAATAGTTTTCAAAGTCATTGACACTATAGCAATCTTTTATATTTACATTTCTACAATAATAAAAGTGAAGACAAAGTTTTCATACGGGTTTAATACAGAAATTTTATTTCTCTTGATTCGCAATCTGAACAGTACCAAATCCAAAGTGTCTGTATCGATAGCGAATAAAACGTTAAAATAGGATTATACAAATGTTAAGCAGCATTCTCACGCGCATACATGGCACCATTGTGAACGGTTCGTTGTCGAAACTCGAAACCGGCTCGCTCGAGTGCCGAAAAATCTTTAAAGAGCAGAATGCTATTCAAAGCATCGGGACGTAAATAATATCAGTATAGTCTAGTTAGAAAATATTGAAATTAATAAGTGTAAACAGAAGTAGAATACGATTACAAAGTACTAAGATTAAATTATAGGTCGAAAACCATTAAAAACTGATGGATTATCTGGAGCATAAGTATATCGATTAAAATCAATGGCATTTAAATATTCTGGCGCCTGTTCACCTGGTGAAAATGTATTTGACGGAGGATTCGAATAAATTTCGTATCTGTCGTAAGGATTGAAATTGGCTGGTCTATCAAAAGGGAGATTATAATTAATTCCACTGTATCCGTGATAGCCGGGTAATGATGTGTCAGTAGTTAAACCAATATTCCCGATTTCTTGAGGAGTGCCACCGTAGTATCCGGGGAATCCAGAATCTTCAGTCTTATTTTGCATGTCAGTAGTGTTGGTCATTGTCGTTGAATTTGTATTTGTTTGGTTGGTATTCACTTGAGGAACATTCATTCCAGGATTATTTTGAACCATTTGTGTGGTTGTACTTAATCCTATTGTTACAGGTTTTTGTGTCGTCGTGTTGATTATATTTCCAGCTCTGGCTTCTTCGTTGACGACTGTAGCTTCCGTTTTGAGAATTACGTCTTCCGTTTCTTCTTTTTTAATGTTCATTTCTTCACTCGTGGCAGATTTCATTCGCAACTCTGCTTCCATTCCTTCCACACGTTCCTGATTCTCCATCTTTTTCTTATTCAACATTTTGTTCTCCGCTATGTAAGTCTCCTCGGAGGTCTCCTGGTCAGTTGGCTTCTTATCAGGAAGTAAATTATAATTTGGAGGTGTGATTGGATTCTGAAGCGGCAGCTGGGCGATTGACTGAACTTTAGATGGTTCCAGAAAGGGATGCCAAGGAAATGAGGGATACGCCGAAGGATATGAATAAGGAATAAACGAATAAGGTTCGTAATACGCTGAGAAATATGGTGTCCATCCAGAATGGCCAAAATTCAAGAAAAATTGACCTCTTGGTATTTTTGTAAATGTATTTATATTCGCAGAAGGTGCAGTTGCGAGTACATTAAGTCCGGCTAGCAGGGCCAATTTTTCTAGGAATTTTGGCTGACGTTTTGAGTCCTTATCGTTGAAATTTGCCACAGCAGTCTTGGATTTTCCAATTTCACTTTTTTCCAGAAATATAGGAATCTTATATTGAGGAGTCAACGTTGCGGAAATATAATTGTGAGGAAGAGGAAGAGATTCATGCAAGATTTTTGAATTTTTCGTAACGCTTTGGGATCCTGAAAACAAATCGTTAGAGATTTTTAGGGATTCACGATACTTAAAATTAATATGTAAATTATAGATCACGTGTCTTACCAGCTTCCAAAAGACAGTCGACAAACAGAAACACGCTTATTAAGAGAAACATGGTTGCTCTAAGAAGTGTCGAGCTGAACTGTAGTGAAATTTAACTTCTCCGAGAATAATATAATATGCGGGTAATGAGTACCCTCATTTTTTAAGAGAAAGCTCTTCCCTATGGAGATTATAACAATTGACCCGATTAGAACTAGCTTGTAACACTTTCTGTTTATTAGGTATCACTCAAGTGACATTGCTCTAAAAAAATGCATAGCTCCAAAAATTCAAAAAGCTCCAAGGTGCATGCATATCGATAGATGGTAACGAGACAGCAGCTGCGATGAACCATGATAAGTATGACGAATTTTCTATTTTATGATAAAACAGTGAAGAAGATCATAAGTGAACCACTTGCACTGTGTAAAATAGCGGAAAAAATTTTGTAGAATATCCAAATGACATCTGGGAGATATTAGTTGCAATGTTGGTCTCGTGTAAAGTGGGCTTAAGACGCTCTGTCTATATATTCGCAGTCAAATGGAGTTAAGAACAGGACACGGTACGAAATAACCGACGAATCAGCTAAAGTGTAATTGAAAAAAGCCAGCAACAAACTTATGGTACATTGTTTTGTTGAGTAATAAAGAAATTAAGGTATCGGAGTGGTAGATGAAGATCGTATAAATCAATGGTTTTCCATTATTTCTTCGTCGGTGTAACAAGTGTTCCGCCGGTAAAGAAAATTACGTTCGAAGTATCCGCCGTTGTAAAAGAGCGCTGCAGTCTGCCATTTTCATAGAGAGTAGAAACCATAGAAACTGTGATTACCGTACAGAGATGAATAGGGAGATGCATAACGCTACGATTATAGGGGATACCAAAATCACTGCGCTAAATCGTAGCAGCGAGTCTGGAAGTAGGATTTTATGATCATCATCTCTGTCGACAATGCGAATCCCGTCGTAGCCGAGCTAAACGTGAACATGAACGCGTAACTTGGCGGGCAGAGGTTCTCCGCTACTCACCGCTGGTTCCCAAAGCAACCCTTAGAACGAGACCAGGAACTATAGAACTTCTCAAGAACTATTGAAAAAGCCTATTATTGACACATTTTTAGGATACTTTTAAGAAAATGCAGTGTCAACCTAACACCCGTGTAGCACCTCAATTTTTACTAAATATCATTGGATCTTGATTTACTTTCAAAATTTATTCAAAATATAAAATTGAGACTACATACAAATCTCGCAGAATCTACGGAGTAGATAAAAAATGAATTGAAATTGTACAATATCGCAAATAAATTACAATCAACTTGAAATATTAATAAATTAGGTGTTTTGAACATTAAAATAATTAATTAATTCAATAAAGGAAAATATTATTTGTATGCGCGCAAATTCGTCGCGGAGGACTCGGAGAGTGGGAACAGGCGGATGGTGGGGGGAGCGCTCGAGGCAGTGCCCGGACTCGGAGCGCAGCGTTCATTCTTCCTCGAGCCGGTCTCCTATACTGGTCTCTTGGAATTACCTCTCTTATCAATTTCCAACTTTCCTCTATTTCTATATTTATTTCTTCTTTACTTCCTTATTTATTTATATTTCATTCTTTACTTTCTGATGTATCTCTTTCCTTATTTCTTCTCTACTTTTATACCCCACAATCATTAATTTTCTATTTTTTGAATTCTTAAATTTTATCTTCCTTCATAACTTCTCGTTTCACTCTATTCTCTCCCTCTTTACATTGTGCTTGTCTTACTTTTCCTATTTCCTTGGTCGGGTCGAGCATATTAATTCAAGTAG